CAATAGGTCCCTCCACATTCGAGTGGAGTAAATGGCATTGTGGACAAGGGCTGGGGGAATGACATCACTGGAGCTTGCCTTTAGGGTTTATATTGTTCCTGAAACTTCAAAAGCTCTCTTTTTGCATTCTGCCCTCCTCAAAGTAAGACAATTTTGTTTGCCATGCTCTTCCAAAATGATCTTCTCCCTCACCTCTGATCCAAAGCAATGGAGTTGGCCAAGCACAAACTAAATTTCTGAAACCATGAACCAACATAAAAATTCCCTCCTCTTGGTAGTTCTTTATTTCCAGGTACTTTGGTCTAGCAATGAAAAGCTATCACAGAGATTGGTAGTACAAAGTGGGTTCCATACTGTGACTGGTAAAACCATGTCATTCACAAGACACTAGAACTTCTATATGTAAGGAGTTTGGAAAAGTTTGGAGAGTCAGAATTGTCTCAAGCCATCCATGGGCTGTGTGTGTGAACTTTTGTGCATAGTAGCCAAATGAGGGCATAGGCCTGGTTCTGAAAACTCTTGTCAGTGATTGATCACATGATGCAGGTGTGCCTTACCCCTAGCTCTGCCTAAGATCGCACACAGCACCTGAGATGGGTGTGACTTGCCAAGATGTCAATCAATCTGCTGATCACAAGACATCAGAAAGCAAACCTCCACCCTTGAATCCTTATCCCTGCCTCTGATGTTCCTGCTAAAAAATAAAGGAAGCATGGATTCACACTCTGTTTCCAGCGCTCTCTTTCCAGTTATCTTTTTCCAGTGTTGAAGCTGACCTTTGAGGTTGCAGAGCCATCCCAACATCAGTTTAAAAACCAAAAACCAAAGGCCCAATGTTTTCATTGATATGAGGATGCTGACTCACAATGGTGATGGGGGTGGGGGTGCATGCAAGGAATGGAAGGGAGGATCTTTACATAGGGCAAAGGAGAGGTAGGAGAAAGGAGGGGGCTAGGGACTAGGAAATACAATGGAGTGAGTTAGACATCATTATCCTAAGTACTTGTATAAAGACACAATGTTGTGAAAATACTTTGTGTAAAATTGGTGATTTGAAAAATTGTACTGTATGTGTGTAATATGAAATAAATTAATTTTATTCTATCGTCATGTATAACAAATTAGAATAAATAAATAACTTAATAATAAAAATAAACTCAGTTTAAAACCAAAACACTACTTTCTGTGTTGTGTGATTTTTTTTTGCCACTTTCTTAGCTTAATGTCCCAGCCAGCTCCTTTAAATGTAGTTCATATCATCTGTGCAGACCGTGGTCAAGACAGAATACAGATAAAAAAATGATTATAAATGGAGCTGCATGGGAGCTTCTGGTGCAAACTCAGAAGATCAGAGTGCTGCTTGGAGTGCAGATTTTAAGGACTGTGTGCATGAAAACTCAAAGAGAAATAAAGAGTGGAAATTTGGCTGGAAGGCAGGTGTGTTATTTTACTCATGTCCTGAGACTTTGTGTGGATGATGATGTACTATTGAAATTGGTGGGGAACGTTTCCAGGCACCACAACATTCAGGCGTTGGCAAGGGTGTGGCAGACTGGAAGGAGCAGGAGCAGAAAGTAGAATGGAAGCATTTTTAAAACTTTCAGTTTTGTCAGAAAAGCACATGTAAAATTGACACCAGTGAAGGTGTGGCTATTGAAGAGATTACTGCCAATAAAGAGAAATTAAGTAATTTGCAAAAAGATAATGGGGAAATTTCTTGGAGGTATCTCAAGGATTAGCAGGACCAACCCATATTAGGCTCAGGGGGGTGAAAAAGAAAACTCTATTGAGAGGAGAACATAGAGACAGTGTTCCCATGCAGGGATTCTTAGGACGTCATTTTGAAAGGATTTTACTCACCATGCTCACCTGTCCAGGCTTGGTAGAAATGTAGAATGATGGAATTGAGGAATCACGAAGGCTCCCATTGAGATTTAAAAGGAAGATATGGGAAGACAGGCAAAGTGTAGTATGGCTGGAATCCACTGAGACAGCCCCTGATAGGGCAATGCATTAAGCTGTAAAGGTTAACGTGAAGGTGGAAGGAATATCCCTGGATTAGGGGCTGGGGTTGGGGCTCAGTTGAAGTGCATTTGCCTAGCACTTGTGAAGCACTGGGTTTCATACTCAGCACCATATAAAAATAAACGATTAAACTAAATAAAGGTATTGTGTCCATCTACAACAAAAAATATATATTTTCTCCCGTAAGTGGTTCCTGTCAGGTTTTGTGGTTACATATACAAAAAAATATAGATTAAGGATTATAAGGGTATAGATCTAAGTCTACACACACTCATTTACACTGTCAGAAGTGCAAATATGTATATGCAGAAACCCACACTCAAATACACATATACACTTACATGCTTATGTTCATATGGTCCCTCACATACACAGACTCACTAGCATGTTCAATCATTTATGCAGAAACTTGGCACGTACACCCTCACCACTCATAATCATAATACCCCCAATAATATACACATTCACATTCTTATAACATGTCATCAGACATGTGTCTTGATGACCTGTCCATATACAGAAGAGTTACATAACTACAACTCTGGGTGATAGCAAAGAGAGCCTCTGCCATCATTTTAATCCTTCTACCATAAAAAAGTCCTATTGGAATAAAGTAACACATAACTTTGTTTGACAACTTTCCCTCCCTGTGATGAAGTCCCTGAGATAATCAACTCAGAAAGGGAAATGTTCATTTTGGCTCATAGTTCTGGGGGGTCCATTCCATGTCCCATTGGTGCCATTACTTGGGCATTGGCAAGGTGGCACACGATGGTGAGAGTTTGTGGCAAAGCAAAACCATTCACCTCAGCAGGCAGGAAACAGACAGGAAGAGGAAGTGCCAGAATCCCACAGTCTTTGTCATGGGCAGCAGCCAGGGACTTAGGACTTCTCACTGGTCCCCCATCTTAAAGAGTCCATCCCCCAAACTCAGGCCTTTAATACATTAATTTGTGGGGACATTCAACATCTAAATACAGAGACAGACTTAAAAACTGGTGTGAGTGTGAGCACTTAACACCAAGAAATCTGGTGAGAAGGCCACAGTGATTGCAGGAGACACACTGCTTTGGTGGAGGACAGTGGGATCCAGAAGGGTAAAGGAACAGTGTGTTGATGGTAAGAGAGTGAGACAGACAGTCTGTGGCATGGCAGCATAGAGAGCAGGAGAGGATCTGAAAGGAAAAGAGATGGTGTTACATGAAGCTGAGGGGTCAATGTGCATTACAGGGATTGAGGACATGGGACAAAGTGCAGAAAGGGGACTTAACAGCATGGAGCACTTCAGATGCTAAGGAGAGGAGGGCAGGATTTTGTGAGAGTGAAGGAGGAAGTGGGGATGGGGAGATATTGGGCAAAAGGGTGAAAGTCAGTGGTTTGTAGAAGTCACAGCAGAAGTTCCATGAGGGGTTTAGGGAATGAGGTGTTGTAGGGGTGAGTAGCATGTTTGGGACAGGAAGACATGGAAGTATGCAGTGGTTAAAACTGTGGGAGGGGGAGATTGAGACAGAGGGGGAGAAGAGACCTGGGCAAGGGGCAACAGGGCAGAGGATAGGGAAGGCTCTAGGGGGACAGTGGGCAGGAGTCACCAAGGAAACCAAGAAGGGACTAGGATCACAGAGGTGGTGAATAACAGGTGCTCCACTACTCATCTGTGTCCCTGCCCTGGGTAAATAAAACAACAACAAAGACATAAGAATCAAGGTTAATATATCAAGTTGTATGGTTTGAAATTAAGAAATTTTTCTTGTGAAATGTGTACATGAATTTTAGAAAACTGATTGGAGGTATTTGGTAAAAATGAGGAGAAATCAACCTATGTATACCTGCAAGCTGGAGACCCAACTCTTCCAACATTGACACCCAACAGAAAGCCCTGCTGTGTCTCCAGCATGAGGTAGAACTTTCATGGCAAGACTATCCATGAGGCCCCAAACTGAAGCCCCACCTGGGCATCTAGGGAGGGATGATTCATTGCTGGAGACCCCCACAGTGGAATCCTGTCACTAACTGTGAAGATGAAGAGAAGGTAACAGGCATATGGAACTTTAAAAGTCAAACACTAAAGAAGTCGTGCTGTGTGGACCCATCTATACAGAATACATAGGGAATAAAGTGACCATGTAGTTATCTGTCACATCGTGGTCACCCAGGGACAGTGACTGGAGAGGAATGAGGAGGCACCAGTGACCTTGGAGCTGCCAGCAGAGCTGTGGTAAGCTAGTGAAATCTTACTGAGCAGACCAATCATGACACGTGCATATAATCATTTTAAAGAAACAGGAGCAATAAAAAGTACAATGAAAGAAGGTAAACAGATTAATATACAATAGTCTTATATTGTCAAGGAGGACAAATGTTCTAAATATCTTTACTATGTGACTATCCACATGTGCACTATCATTTCTAGGTTGATCTAAGATATACTAAATATACATCATGAAAGAAAAAGGGTGAAGTATGGAATTAATGAGAATAAATTGCAGAGAAGGAATCAATACAGACATTAGAAACAGAACAATTGTCATGAGAGGCACATGCTTTGTTAGTAAATCCTTCCCAGGTGTGTCCATGACTGTATCAACTTAAAGACTAACTGTGATTTTAGTCAAATTCTATTGAATATATTCAGTTGGAAATTTTTTTCCAAGAGAAAAGACTGAGATAAGAAGGCCTACAGGCACAGCAGTAGCACATCTGACTCCAGAAATAGCTAAGACCTAAATATTGAAGTAGGTAAATAAAAATATATCCATGGCATTTTAACCAGTTAATCACCTAAAATGGCAAGACAAACATCCAATAAATAAACATTGTATTAAAGCACATTGTCATTATCAAATGAGCATTATTTTAAAATCTTGAATTTGCAAAACTTAAATAAAATTTTCTAATATTGTTTCATGGATAATAAACATCATCTGAATGATGGGCAGACACACTCAGGCAGATTCAGAGACACACATTATAACACACTAAGCAAACGTGTGTGCATGTGTTGCACTCTTACAGTGTGACTGCCTTATCATTAAGTCTGTGGAGATGAGTGATCGAAAACAGATTGTACAAAAGTAAATGATGTATATTTTTCTCACATGACTGGCATTCTTCCTATTCTGTATCCAGGCAGAGTGGATCCTGGATGCAGTAGAGTCTCTGCTCATGAGCAGAAAGGGGCTGACAGCTGGGAAACACCCAGAGATGATTGCAGCCGTGCTCACCACAAACCAGTTGGCATTATAAATAACAGCTAAACTAACTTGGAACATGCAGGAAAGTGTGTACAAAGAGACAAAGGTGCTCACCAGGAGGAGGATGGTTTTGGTGGCTCTGGACTCAGGGGAGGACCTGGGGGAGCTGGACTTATGAACCTGCTGCATTCTCTGCTTTTGCCTGTGCAGGATGAGCACCATGGAGCTGCTGGCCCAGAGCATGAGTCCCACACACAGGACATCAGGGAAGGTTAGCAATGCTGCATGCAGTGAGTCTGTGGTTGCGTCATGACGAACACCAGAACAGTATCCAAAATCTTTTAGGATTGTGATGTTTTTGTTGCTTCTTCTCCCAGTCATGTACATAAGATAAACAACATTTACGAACAGGTACAGGATCCAGCTCAGGTATATGGAGGAGCCAATGTATTTATGAATATTTACTTTAAGGTTTGAACAGCATGAGTCTCCTGGGCTGATCTTAATGGCCTGGAAGACACTCAGGAGGCAGGTGCTGCCAATGGACACACCCCTGCCCACCCTGTGAAGATAGAAAAGCAACTTGCATCCAAAATCACTGAGGAAAATTTTCACTCCAAAAGCTTCCATTGTCTGGGGAACTCCTTTACACAGGAGAGTTAACAAGTTGGCCACAATCAAGTGCTGAAGAATCAAGTCTGTGTGTCTTACCTTGAACCCAGTGAAGTAAAGGACCAAGTAATGGAGGAGAAGAGAGGAATTGCCCAGAGTTCCAACTACAGTCTGTACTAGGAAGATGATTCCTACAGCCACATCACTGGCTGCCATCCTACCAGTTCCCTTCTGTCCCAGCCAGAGGGTCCTGCAGGGGAACAGGAGGCCGGGACTACATGTGTCCTTTCAACCAAAACTCAGCATTGCCCACTCCCCAGAGTTCCCACTGTGAAAACTTAATGTTTTATTTTAACTACCAGGTTGTAATGAGCCTGGTGTGCCTAGATGAAACATGAAGTATGTATAAATCCCAGCTGTGAAGGCAGCACATGGTGATTATTGAGTCTTCACAACATGAGGCAGGTGCTGAGATGACTTTGCTGATGACCAGGAGAACTTGGGCACACCAATTCATCACTGATCCAGTGCAGTAAGGAGCCTTGAAACTGGCTGAGGCTATGTGAACCACCAAGCTTCCCTAAAGCTAGTGAGCAGGGTTCTTCTACCAATCAGCTCATGTACACTTCTGCTTTTCTGTTTTGCTAGTGTCTTCTGAGTGAGTGCTACTTTATAACTTCCTATTAGTAAAATGTTTCCACTTGCTTATAAAGATTTATTCTACATGTAATATCAGTTATAAATGAACATTTAGATAATTTAATAACTGCAGATGCAGTGAGGGGACTTTAGTACTGCAGGCACTTGTCCCATGGCGGGTCACAAGCAATGAGGCAGGACAGGCTCCCCATCAGGACACCTACCCCATGACTCACTTGGTGGTGTGTTTGGAGCCCAAGTACAATGACAACTAACATAGGAATTCTGCCACATTCCCAAGCCAGGTTCTAATATTGGGACATAAAGCATCAATATGTGATAATAGAATTTAGAGTGGAAACAAAATATTCACTGGTTTTCAAAGACATAAACGTATATGACTTAATATCCAAGTTTAAAAAAAAAACTGTTTCAAGGAAGAGAGATTGGTGAATGTCGTCACAATGGGAGCCTCCCAGGCTAACTGGCTTTTGTGGGTATGAAAACATTTTCATTTTAACAATGAAATGTCAGAATTTCTGAGGTCCTTTGACTGCATAATTTAACAGAGTTCATCATTTGGAGAAATTTAGGTTCACAGAAACTGGAGCAGGGAGGCAAGAGATTTCCTATACCCCTAGCACTGCATTGTGCTCCACTGTACATTCTTGGCTCAGATGCTGAGTTCCTTACAATCAGAATATTATGGACAGGCATAGAGATGCACATCTGACAGGTGGTGTTGAAACCTGTAATAATCATGTCCACTTTTTCATACTTGTTGTTTCCACATCAGAGAGAAATGGCCTCATTCTCCTGGAACTCTGAGGCTTTCAGGATTGGTACAATTACTGTCCCCATTGGCTGCACCATGCTCAGAGTCAGAGAAAACCTTCTGCTAAAGCATCACCATCAGCTCTCTCTCTGTGCAGGACTAGAGGATTCCTGTGAGCTGCTCCTACTCCACACAACAGGCAGAGAGAGACTATAGGTCCAGCACTAGAAATCACAGACATTTAGGGTGGAATTCCCTATAAGAGAAACTGAGCAGCTGAGTGAATTTCAAACAACATCCTTGTACATCATGAAAAATCACATTTGTTTTTCCCTTGGATTAAACCATAGCAGTCATTGTCAATGAGGACCACATTAAGTTAAATTAGGATCCATCATGGTTTGGCATTGAGGCTGGACCCCATTCATCTTTACTACCTGGAGCCCAATCTTCATCACTTCTTCTCCCTTTGTGGTTCTGGCTTCTACAGGTTCCATCCAGCCCCCCCTTTTCTAATGTGATCACTTACCCAGACTCCTGAGCTGGGTCTTCCCTCCCAGATGCTGCTCTCACACTGATTGTGCATTACTCCTCAGGCTCTTTCTCTTTACCAGGATAATGATCCTAGTGCACAGAGCTCTGTGACCAGGAGATGTGCTGCAGGGAGGTGGGCACATCCTGAGATATGGGTCTGTGACACTGTGACCTCACCTCCCCTGAGACCTGCAATTATCACTGTGCCTGTAGCAGCAATGGGCATGCAAGCTGGGGTCCTGAGGACACTGCTGAAAACTCTCTCCCCAGGTGACACGTAGCAAAACAACAATAGGTTTCTTCATAACATGTCTTAAGGGGACTCTGGAGTTTTTGGTCCCTGGAGGGAACAGGAAATATTGAGGCCTGTCACGTGAAGGACTGGCAGTGAGCTGTGCATGTCCCATTGCATTCCTTGCTTCCCTGAGAAGTTTCTACCACAAGTCTAGTTGGTTCCTGTTCTTCATTTCAACAAGTGGCAGCATCATTGAAGGTGTCATCAGAGAAATGGAGAGAGAGAAAAACCTATAGGAAGGATATTAACACAGGAACCAGGAAAAGGAAGAATGTGGTGCTAGTTGTTCACCTTGGAAGTCACTGGATTCCTCTGCACAAATGAGAGTCAGTTAATTGGACTCACATGCTCAATCCAATTGTAACTGATGTCCTCTAGTGTGGATACATGTATTCTCCCAATACTGACCCCAATCCTGACAGGAGGGAGAAACAGACCAACATCCACAGAAGGACTGGAGCAGGTTCTAAATGGGTTCCTCCCCAACAACAGCCACAGAACCAGAGGGTCTCTCAGGCCACATCTAGCATTTATGCAAATATCCAATACGATTGGGGTTTGTCCACCAGGGATTTTGTCTTGGAACCCTGGTGTGGCCATGTTAGAGGTGGTGAGGTCTATATCAGGTGAGGCCTAGTGGAGACAGGTCACTGGGTCTTTGCCTATTGAAATGACCCATGTGGATCTCATGGGATCAGGCTAGTTCTCAAGAGGGTTGTTACGAAAGAGGACTGGCCCCAGATTGTCTCTGACTTTCAAACTCAACATCATCTGTCCCTCTCACACAGAGTCCTGCCATCTGCTATCCTGAGAACCAGGAGAGGGCCACAGAGAAACTGATGGTGGTGTCACTGCTGAAAATGGACTGGGGTTGAGGCTCAGACGTAGAGCACTCACCTAGTATGTGTGAGGCGCTGGGTTCTCTTCTCAGCACCTTATTAAAATATAATAATAATAAAACAAAGATTGTGTCCATCTATAAATAAATTTAAAAAAAACACTGAAAGTGAAACTATAAATAACTATCTGTGCTCTATAAAGTATCCAACTTCTGGGGTTTTGTTATAGAAAAACAACTGGCTAATACCCAAGGTTTGGGGCTATACTCATGTGATATACAGTGACCTTTCCCTCTGGGTTGAGAGGACCTATTTCCATACTCTCTCCTTGATGCTCTATTGAATTCACGATCCTAAGGTCATCTCTCCATTCAATATGGAATTATTCTTATTCTGGATTTCTGAAGCCTAAAGTTTTGGGGCACAGGGATCAAAACCTCTGTCCATTCTGACATTTACATGGACACACAGCCCCTGAAGTTCTCACGTGTCCATCAAGCCCAGTCTGGGGATGAGGCAGTGAGATATCACAGGGAACAGTATCTGGGACATTGTCATTAGAGTGGGACAAGGTTAGAGTTGGCTTTATCATGCAGTCCTGAGGAGGAGGATGATAAAGGATACTGGCCACCTGTGTGCAGGGTGGAGTGAGCATGGCGAGGTGAATGGAGCCCTTAGATGGCCCATCCCTCACGTCCCTGTGAAGGCTTTATACCTCACTCTCAGGGCTGTTCTCTGTGTAGGCTCAGGATCTGGGGACTCCCTCAGCACAGCTTTTCCATGAATCTCCAAAACCCGTGATGTGTTGGGAGTTGGTCTTTCCTTCCTGGAGTCTCATTTCCCTCTGTACTAAATAAACATGTTTCTATCCCATGGTTGACAATATCTTAGAATCCAAATCTCTCTATCAGGATAAGTAAGCATGAACAGAAACAGCACATCCATCCTCCCAGGGGATGTCCACATACATGGAAAGCCAGAGAGATTTGTCTTAGACCAAGGTCCACTGCCCATTCCTTTCTGTGTTCACTTTTGGTGAATCTTTCCAAGAGCAAACCTCTGATGGAAATGCTTTAATTGCTCAAGTGCTGTCGTAGGACTGATGCGTTTAATTTCTTCAGTCCACATTTGATGAAGAGTGAAGTGAGGAGGCTTCTGCAAACCAGAGTGAGGCCAGCAGGCTGTATTTACCTCCTGCATTTCTAGGCAGGTCCAATAGGCAACCACTTACAACACTTACACGTCTCCCATAGAAGAATCTGTCTTATTCTTACATTTCTGTATTGCCTTTTACAGAATAATGAGAGAGAAGAAAACTGAAATTTATTGAAAAACAGGCAACCTAACTTATCTGATGTAATCTTGGTTTGTGATGCTTGTGCTGACAACGGAGAGCTAGATGGGAGGAATCTTGAGAAAGTAGAGCAAGGGGTGGGAGTGGGGAAACACACAGAAAGTGGGGCAGCACATTCACCAAACTAACCCCAGCTGGCCAGGCTAGTGATATGAATGGGGTTCAAAGGAGCTGGGTGTATTCATAACTAAGAAAATGGTGAAGAAACCACGCAGCACACAAATATGAATTTCTAAGGCACTGCGACTCAGTGACCCAGGGTTCAGCTCTCTTGATAATCTTTAGTATTATAGGGGGTTCAATGGAATGTTCTATCCAAATCAGGCAGGGCAATCAGGTTTCAACAGGGTTCCTATCCCCACTAGGTGACTCCCAGGTAGGGCTTGAATCAGGCTCCCTTGCCTAGGGAGGGTAAAGGCCATTTGCCCTACACAGCTTTCACATGTGTGCCAGACCAACATCCCCGATTCTCAAGGGCAAGGGGAGCAAGATCAGCCCAGGGGCCACGGGTGGCTGCCCACACCAAACACCACCAGAGACTAAAATGAGTCATAAAAAATGGAAAGAGGAGAGAGTGGAAACCAATCAAATGTGCTCACCAGAACAAGAGTCTTTGGGTGGCTCTGCACTCAGGGGACGTGGGAGAAACTGTGCTATGAGGGTTGGATCTACGTGGTGTCAGGATGGAAATGTTAGTAATAAGGATCCCCCCTAAATCCTAGAACGAAAGCAGGCTCACCAAAATCCTCAGAGCTCAGGGGTTTGCAGCACACGATAATC